AGGTGATGTTAAATATGCATCTGGAACTTACCGGATCTTTAAACTGCCTCAAAACTCCATCAAGACCAGAGCGCTGGTCACATATAAAGGCACCGTGCCTGACTGCGCTGAATGTTTTGAGTTTGATGCCTCTCATTCCTTTAAGGTAAACTTTTTTTTATTTTAGTTATTAATTTTATAAATGTTAATATGATTTATTCGGTGGTCAGTTCTGTTAATTCTATTCCAGACAAATGCCCCAGTGGAGATGGGTGCAGAGATGGCCGCCATCCTCCAGAACACCCGTTTCTCTACAGACTTCAATATTACAATGTTAGACACTCCAGATACAGACCAGAGCAGTACTACGCAGGTAAATGTGATGTACTGTGTGCATATTTTATTCATCATCTTTTGGTATATAAGGTGTACTTCACTTTATTTTTTATTTTTCCAGTATTGCCACCTTAGCCCGTTCCTTCTGGCGGATAAACTGGGTTCCTCAGTCAAACAGTGCTCGAAGACAGGACACTAAGGTAAATGTGGACAGTCTGGTGGATCATGTGATGTCTAGATCAACTTGAGAAAATGTAATGGGAAGTGAGAGTATAGGGTGTCTAGTGCTCAAGTGATCATTCCTTATGTTTTCTTTAGACTTGCAGAAGCTATTTGTCCTCTTAATTGTAAATGACTTTTAATAAAACAAAAGTACTAAGCAATAAAACAATGGTAATAATTAAGATATTAATTACAGTGTGCAAAGTTATACACTTTTTATTCAAGAAAAAACTAATCAAGATCTTTGTCAGTCCATTTATATTTTGATTTTATTTTTAATTCCAACATAGTTCTCTTTTCTTCTTCTTCTTCTTTTTGTGCAGTATTTGTTAAATGTTTCTAAAGCAAATTTTACTGGGCTCTATTTCTTTGTCCCTTATAAGATAGCAAACCAACTCAAAGTATTGGTACTTCTTTTCTATTCTGTATGAAATAAGGCAGTGCCGATATTGATATTGGTACACAATCTCTCATTACTCTGTTAAATTAATCTCT